GCACGCTGATGGAATTATTCTAGTCCCGTGGCTCTATTTCCCGTGATTTCCAAAAGAACTTGCGAAATCGCCCCACGAAAATTCCGATCTTCCAGTATTTTAGTTTTCTTATTCTTTTCTTATTTCTGTTTTTCTTGTCTCTGTGCGCGCCGAAATTAGAAAATCTTTCGTAACTTTTGGGAACTTTTGAGAGTTTTGAGAATTTTTAGAGTTTTGAGAATTTTGAGAAGTTTGAGAATTTTGAGAGGTTTGAGAAGTATGTGAATTTTGAAAGGTTTGACAAGTTTGGGAACTTTGAGAGTTTTGGGAATTTTGAGAATTTTGAGAAGTTTGAGAATTTTCAGAGGTTTGACAAATTTGGGAATTTTGACAAGTTTGAGAAGTTTGAGAATTTTGAGCACTCTAATTTTCTTAATTTTACGAAAGTGCGCAGATTTTGGGGAACTTTTGGGACCTCAATTTTCATTTTACGAAGCTGTACAGATCTTCGGAAATGAATTAGAAAAGATGGTGAGACGGACTCAAAGTTTGAATATTGAACAGTGGCGCCAGCTAGTGAGAAGTTTCCAAGCGACTATTGTTGAGCGTATAGACTGATTTCTACTGCCACCTGCTTCATTGGTTCGCTCTGCCTAGCATAAGTTGAGTTCAAACATGAATTATCACAAAAGGTTAAAATAAAAATACCATCAAAAGAGCTTATTTCGTGCATCAATAGATTAATTCACTAACGAAGATTTTCGTCGATCCGCACATTCTCGCGTTTTTTGGATCTTCTCGAAAGTCGAACGTTTCACAGAAGATTCTACATCTTCGTATCCTCTACACTTCACACATCTCACAGATTAATTCTTCAAATCAGAGAAGATCTCTGAAACACAATATCCTCGACAAAGACCCACTTTTTCTCACAACACGGAAATCCCTCGTTCTCGAATATTCAAGAAACGAAACCTTCGACAGACATTAACTTTCAAATGCGGAAGCCAATCGGCTGGAACATAGTTTCTTATTTTCGCCTTATTCCTTTTTACGGGTTATTAAAGTTTCTTTATGCATTTAAACTGCGACTTAGAGGTGTTGATCGTTGTTTATTGCAATCACGACTCTCTTCAGCACGATTTCTGCTCAAGCCACGTGGAACACTCTTTAAGGAACAGAATCAGCAACTTCGCGATTTTGCCTTACGTAAATGAAATAAGTCTCATTCCTGAGGGATTTCAGTTAAGAAGAGCACACCTCGTAAACATACGTTATAGAAATGTATTTAAGGTGAGACACGTGTGGTCATCTTTAACGTGCCGCTGAAATCACTACGATAATAATAGTGCTCTGTTTACAGGCGTAAAATCTTCGAAGAATACAAACGAAGAGAGCGAGCGGCGAATTACAATAAGTTCTCAACGAAGGTATAGTCGGTGGAATCGATGCAGTAAGGTGCAAAATAAAAAAATAATTGAAAAATACCGTACTTATTATTTTCAATATATCGTCGATGAAGTATGGCATAGTATAGTCTGTGGAATAAATTTAAAAAAAAATTATTTCTACTATCCCAATAAAAATATCATTTTTAAATGTTATCAAGGAAAGTATAGGTGGTGCAATCGACACAGTGAGATCGTAAATTATCGTAAATTTAAAAAATTTGCATCGATACGTGTGAATTTAAAAAAAATTATTTTCATTATCGGTATAGTTGATGGAATCGATACAGCGAGGTCGTAAATGAAAATCAAAATGAAAAAATATTAAATTCGTGAATTATCGTAAATTAGAAAAACTTCACTTAGCATAGGACAAGGAGAAAAAAAAATTACAAAATTAAAGTTATTATTTTTACATACACTACCGGTCGAAAGTTTGGAATCACCTGCAAATTTATATTAATATCGAATCTGCTACTAATTCTTTATTGATCTGAAATTGATATTGTGGAGGTCAACAGCACGTTACCTAATTTCGACTAATTTGAACGATAAGAAGTTCGCTGGAAAATTATTATATATTTTAGGGGAATTTTTGTACAACTTGCGACGCACAGCGATTCCAAACATTTGGCCGGTAGTGTATATTGTTAAGAAAGGTATAGTAAAATCACGAAAAATGTCACTTAGCACTCCGCAAAGAGCGAAAATGAAGAAACTAAAAAATTATTATACCAAATACACGAAGTGTCTGGAGGCTTACGAAAGGAAGTGTACGAATCGTTAAAAAAAGAATTGCATTCTACAGAGTCGAGCAAGCAACCCGGTGAAGTTCTACCTCGAAGGATTTCCAATTTTCGATTCGTGTTCGTAAATGAGATAAAACTAAAGACTACGGTATAATATTCAAGCCTGTGACGTGTGAGAATCGTTACGTGAATTATGGAATCCTGAAAATGTCGAAGACGCGAAGTTCTAAAGGTAGATAAGAAGCGGTGTATATGTATGCGAATATGTAGAACCAGCGGAAGATCCGCCGTAGCGATTCATTTGTCCGATGGAAAAAGTTACGAACGATTGCAACGTCTCCGACGATAGATAATTCTCGATCACGTGTGGAAAAGTTTCAGCGTGGATCTCTCTTGCGAAATTTCATACTCGTTGCTTCATTTACGACGAGTCTTCACGAGGTTCGAATGGGTGAAAACACCCCTTTAAACGTGAATGTGTGCTTTCGTGTGCATATCTTGAGAATTAACGGTAGATACGAGAAATATTGTTGGAATGAAAATATCACGATTTTTTATCATCAACAAGAGACTGTGCTAATGAAATTGTTGTAAATTTATTGTTTGCGTAAAAAAAAAGGAAATGTGCAGAACCTTGTTATACTTGGATAATTTATTAGATTGTCGCAATAAAACTGCGTTGGAGAAACTAAGTTTTATCAATTTTGTTAATTTAGTCGATTAAGCGATTAAATTGCATCGGAGAAACTAAGCTTTGCGAACTCTTTATTGCAATAAAATTCCATTGCACAGCCTAATCTCTGATCATATTTTAGGAAAAATCGTCTGAAACTTCTATCGGGGTCTGCTATAAGCTTCGAAAGTGTAGGAAAAACGTCTCGGAACTTTCAGGGTACCGAAGTTTTCCCCACGTCAGCCGGCGAACTTTTTCCTAAAACGAACTTCGTCTGAAACACTCTGTACATCGACGTTCGATTCTCCCCGGCAAAGGCGTGATTAAATATTCCTCCGGCGATCGAACAGGATCCCGTGACCGCATAATGCCGCGGAAAAGATGCGGATGGACGCTGGAACAAACCGAAGACGACAAAAACACGCGACGAAGAGGGAAAAAACGGAGAAAAAGTAGGCGTACGTGTCTAGTTAACATATAAAAAATTAACATGGACGTGGGAGATCTGATGAAATTTTCAACGTTTGTTGCAAAATGAACAAGGAAGCGTTCTCCGAGATTCTAACAGCCGCGCAACACACCTTTCTGTCATGCTGGTCGTGTGCAAATTTTTCTCGCTTTCCTGTTTATCAGATCGACGATGTTCAATCGCGTTTGCAAGTCTCTGATCTCCGATGAAACCGATTCTAATCGTTCGGTGATCGATTTACGAAGAAGAAGAAAAAAAAAAACGTTGACAACATATTTCATACCAGTCGCGTAAAAGTTATTTTATACGAAGGTCGTCTCTTTGTATCACGTTTGTTCAAATACCGATGGGATATCGTTGCGAATGTTTCTTCCCATCTTCGGTTCAGCGGTAAAATTTCAATACCGAATAGAACTGCACGTTGTAGCAAATTATATAAGTGTTTTGTTCGATATATTTTGTCAGATTGACCGGAAATAAAGTGTAGCTTTTAGAGGTGATTTTTGAAGTTGTATGACTATATTGTTAAGAGTTTTTTCTGTAATAGCTTGTAATTGTACTTTGTGGCAATGACAATTGGTGAAATATGATAAGTGAATGTAATTATAATTTGACACAACTCACAACTCACACTTACTCTCTCTCTGTAATGCTCTATCTGCAATTCCCCAACTCTATTCGCAACTCTTCGACTATATCTACAACACTCTTACTCTGTCTACAACACTCTTGCTCTATCTACAACACTCTTACTCTATCTTCAATACTCCTACTCTATCTACAACTTTGACTCTCTCTGCAACACTATATATCCCCAACAATTCCGACTCTATCCACAACATTCCTACTCTATCTGCAAGGAGAATCTCTTCCTTCGCCTTCGTTCTCTCTTACCAGACGTGCTCTTACACTATGTATTTCGGTGTTTTTCCAACAGCACGACGAGCCTCGTGCGTCATCAATGGTTTTCGCGACAGACCTGCCTTTTGTCCCTATCAACCCTCACTTTCTCATTTACAACATTCTACCTGCGTCCCTTAAAACTACATACAAAGAAACATTTTTACGATAGTACAGTGTTTATTCTGCCACCTTTTCCGTATTTTCCACCGGTGTGCAGAGGCCCGTGCGTGACATATGCACCGCGAAATGCGTTAATCGCGAAGTCTTCCAAAGGATCACCACTACCGATGATAATGGTGATGATGATGATGATGCATTGCAATTAACAGTTGTCGCGGTTATGCAAGGGCGAGGTTGTGCAACGAGAATTTATACAGTCTCGCTAGTCGATGCGCTATGCTAACGAGCTTACGCTTGATTAAAAGAGAGGTTCTCACTATATGAAAATTCAACCCCGAAAAACAATATCAACGCTATCTTTCTCGAAACTTTCTTCGCCTCTCGCCAACCGAAACACATGAAAATTTTTCACGATCCTGTTACCCAATCGATTCGAAAAATCGATTAATTCGACACGTGTCACCGACAGCAGAGAGTTCATCGATCGATAATACAACGAAACGGAGAATGAAGGAAGACCAAGCTTTAATGAAATTGACGGGGGAGAGACGTAACAAACAAGGTCGTCTTTAGAACGCCTGGCGCGCGCACTGCTCGGCCTAAAACCGTAGAAATTCGCCTAATACATGCCGCATTGGCTTCCTTATAAAGCTTCCGTTTTTCACTACCAAGGTCCGCAGTTCCACGGGAAGTTTCACGAGGAACAGGCCACAGGTTCAAGTCATCCGTTTACCCACGAACTTGGCCCCCGTACGAGAGCCTACTTGCCACGCGTTCCCCGCCATTTTTTACTTCGCGCGTCGCGCCGCATCGGTCCGAGTCGTGTCGCTCCTGGAAGTTCAGTGAGGAAGAAATTGCCACCCACCCCAAAGAAAAGGAAAAAAAAAAAGTTACAACAAACGAAAATTTTAAACAAATACATTGTGTACAATTCTCGATTGTCGTCGATTAATTTTAATCGAGTGAGATAACTGATAGAGAAAAAGAAAAGGAAGGATAGAGTGAGAGACAGAGAGAGAAGTATAGAAGATACTGATGACAACGAGACGATAAAGTGTTTCATAGAAATAGAAGGAGAAGCAGCGAAATAATTCTTCACCATGGGTAAATTTAGAGGGTTACTGGTGATAATTGGTATAATTTGCGCTTGCACCTGCGGTGGACGTACGGAATGCGGAAATCACGCGCAGATCTCGCTGTTGACTAGCATCCACGACGACCCCTCCTGCAGAAAGTTGTCTGCAAGAGGTGTGCTGCTGTACGAAGCAGCGAAATTGCTCGTCGAGACTCACAATAATAAGTCTTCCAACTACGACATTGGTAAACACGTAGTGTAGTGTAGTGTAATTAGCATAAACGCAGGAGCCACGCTTTTGCTACACCTTTTTTCTTTGTTTAAGTTTCTTGATAGACAGAGGGGAGAGGGGGGGAAATGGCCGGAAGATGAAGGAATAAAAAAAAAATAGAAAAACAGTAGAGAAGAACTGAAACGAAGTGTTACAGATGAAGGAAGAAAAACGGAACGGTGTCAAGGAAACATTCTTGATACTTATTCGAGCAGAATGAATTAGTGTCGCGTAATAATATCCACGGTTGTCTTGAATTCTTGGCTAATAACGCTCGGATTCGCCGGAATTGTTCTTACAGGTTCTTGACTTCGAGAGATCGTTTATATCGTTTCGGGCGATTAGAGGTGAATTGCATTTTTTTTTCTCCGTTATTCGTTCTTTTCTGTTTTCTCTCTTTCTTTCTTTCGATCGGTGTGAGGAAGTAGAATAATTTCGGTTTCGTTTATCGTTGCTGTCACGTCGCCGTGTTAATTGACCAATTAGGAAAACGTTGTAGCACATGAGCAACTGTGAACAGTCGCTATTATACGGTTCGTTCGAGATGGATTTGCAAAAGGTGGTAGTGACTTCTGTTTTCGCTGTCACTTACGCACCGTCGAGTCAAATTTGAAAATTCAGAAGTTTGAAAGTTTGAAAATTTGAAGGTTTCGGAGTTTGAAAATTTGAAAATATGGAAATTTGGAAGTTTGAAAATTTGAGAGTTGGATATTAAAAAATTTGGAAGTTTGAAGGTTT